GAGAGCTAAAAATTCAAGCCAATATTTAATTCCATCTCTTCGGGTACTAAAAAAAGAATTGATTATGAAGGAGCTTAGCATATGTATCCTGTTTGTCAAAAGCAATCCTCTTTTTAAGAACCCGCAAACTTAGGTAATTTCTTCCTACACAATCAACAGGATATGCCTTCTCAGTTCTGAGTCCTGGGCAGGGATGACAGATATCACAAGGGCATCAACATGAGGATGGTTCCAGAATGGAGTCAGAAACCAACAGACTTCACTGGAATATCCAATTAAAATCTAATAGAATGCTCTTGTCCTTGTAAGGGATCCTTAACTATATTCTTTTAAATAAAGAAGTGTTTGAAAAAGCAATCATTAGGCTTAGAGACCACAAAATAAAAATAACTATGGTTTCATGGACCATATCAACTATATTTCTGATAAATAATGGGTAGTTTGCATAATTATCTCATTCAATTTCAGGACACATGGTTTTGATAAATCATGTTTAAACAGGATAGAAATTTCAACAAAGACATTTAGTATTCATTGCCCAACAGTTCCACAATACCAGTAGGTTTAGACAGGATGGACATTGAAAGGAAAGGGTGAACCATGGATACTCTGGTCTGGCCAACCTGGGTGGATCGTGAAACTTATTTTGGTGGGAGGGATCATTACATACCTCTTAGGTATTCCTGGCTACAGTATCTGCAATCTATTTTAAAATACATGTACTGAGGGAATATAACAGTGTATATAAGCTAGTGAAAGCTTCAACTCCAGGGCAGTCAGCTGGCCCACAGCTCAGGGATGGATGGTGGGCCAGCATGGTGTTAAGAAGGCCAGAGGCCAGAGGCAGCTAGCAAGCCTTCAGTTATCCCTATGGAGACCAGTAGCTGTGTCTTTGCTAACTAGCATATTAATATCTGAAAGGGGCATTCATTAGTGGAACTAGGATACAAGACGTGGATTAACCAAAATCTCTGAGAGAGGCTCCATCCACTCCTGCCCATCCCTAATGGGGTCTACAGCTTAGATCTTTAAGAAGGCTGCCTGGGGCTTACTGCCTAAATAGTTCCGGGAATAGCCACTGGCTGAGTTACATTTCTAGTTGCCTGGAGCAAACTATAAGGGCAAAAGACCTGTACCCCTGGAGTCTGTTTGCACCAGTCTGGAGCTAACCTTTCAGACAAAATATCAGTGAAAGTAGCTATAAGGACAGAGAGCTGGACAGCTTCAGGTTTACAAAGCAGGCTTTCCAAACTGTTCAGTTCTTGCTGGCCAATAAATATTTGTTTAATAAATGTCTACATATAATGGAGAATTACATCAGGACCATGCTTCTGGTTGACCTGGCAATAGAGCTCTCCTCCTATAGGCATGCCAGAGAATGCCCACTTTGCACCTGTTATGCAGGAAATATTATTAATTGCACCCCTTCCACTCTCAAAGGTCCCAGTTTAGATGATAAATTATGTGGCCACTCTACCTAGTAGGGACACTATGGGGGGTACAGCTGAGTCTTAGGAAATTTGAAATTCTTTTGCAGCTACTACTATTAGCTACCAGAATGGATTTGAGAGTTGTGAATACCACAGTGATGCCTGAAACATGGATGGATTGTTGTTGCATAGAAAATTCTGTTTTCACAAAACTAAACTACAACATACTCAGATACTCTCCTAATACCACTCTCTGGGACTAATAGGCTAGATGATTTGAATCAATCCTCCCATTGAGAATAATTCAAAATGCTGGATAAAATATATTCGTAATATTATCTTAAAGGCATCAGAGAGCTGATGAGATAGGAATTACCAGGCTGAACAAGAGAAGAAGCTGTGCAGAAAAGTCAGCCAGCTCAGAAACTGCTTTAGCCTTTTGGGCATGCACTTATCTCAACAAATCCGAACTTTCTGTTGACAGCTTCCTGGGGCCATGGACCAAATACTAAACTCTCAGGGCATGCCCAAAGTGCAGATTCTAGACTCTTAACAATTAGGACTCTAAGGGCTATAAACCCAGAGAACAGAGCTGTCTTGCTGTGGATAAGCAGTGAGCACAGCCTAAGGGGCTGCCTCAACTTGATTTAAGTGGATCCTAAACCCACAGTGCCCCCAGCCCTAGTCCACACCAGCAATCCTCTCTGAAAGGTACCTTCATCCTAGGCTTTAGATTATTCTAAACCATGGAAGTGGATTTATTCAGAGGTGGCACACAGTTTCATCCTTCCCAGGGAAAAATTATTGTAACCTGCAGGATAGTTACCATACATATTCACAGCTGCATTCCAGAAGCCCAGACCTTTACTGTAACCTTTACACACACACACACACACACACACACACATATGCATGCACATTTAATTATTTAGGACTGCCTCATCTCTATTGTCACATAGTAAACTTAGTCGAGAAACCAATCCCATCTCCGCTCTCTGCCCTTTGACTCTATGTGACACCCAGGGACCTACATGTGCTTCTTTGGGAAGTAACCTGTGTTTGTTCACCCTCCAGTCTGAGCATGACATGGTGCCCAGTGGATATGGTGGCAAGACCATGACTAGACTTTTGGCACCTGTAACCCAAACCTTCCACATCAATTCCTCCAACACAGCATTTTAAAATGGAAATATTACAAAGTAAACTCAACTTTACACTTTTCTAGAGTTTTGATGAGGAAGAAGAGGAAGCAATTTCTGGTTGTTTGTTTTTTTGACAATATTATGTATACTCTGTTTTAAAGACATGGAAGCTGGTTGCAGGAACAGCACAATCTTGGAGGGGGGGCACATTGGTATGAGAAGAACACAGACAGTGAAGAGGACTGGCTGTAAGTTTGGTCTGTCCCAGTAACATGCTCCGTGGCCTTGAGCAGGAAACCTGACCACTAAGCAAGGATTAGTTTGTTCTTCCATAACACGACCCCAGAGGTCTGGATAAATTTTGTGGCTGCTTCTACATCCAAAATCGATGTTTCTGCTTCTGTGGATTTCTCAGTAGAGGCATGTCCTGATACAAGTCAAGTTTATCCTAGAGGCTATAAGCAATTCAGGTAAATCACAGTTGCAGACAACACGCTGAGGCAGAGCAGGACTTCATTCACTGCAAGGCATACTATATGCTTCTTCAGGTTTTAAGGTGGACATTTTTTTAAAAAACAACGTGCAGGGTTTCAAGGCGACTCAAGCAATCACTTCACATCCTAATAGGATAAAGTTTATGCATAATTCTGTGTGACCCTTCAACTACTGACGTTCATGCCATGTTATTGTTAGCATGGCATGTTAAGCTAGCAAATTTTCAATGAACTCTCGCTGGCTTCACCACAGACACAGATGTTAGGCGGACTCCTTTGTTCATGAGGTTCTCATTATTAACTCAATCCGGGCTGCATATTTGACTGAAGGAAAAGACCGTATCATTATTTTCAGATTTCATCCTATGACTTAACTGGGCTACATCTGCCAGCTTTAGAAACGCCAAGTACTCCTTGGCGCCAGGCTTGATGTCCTGTTCTATGACTACTAACCCCCAAAGCTTCAGTTTGAGGAAGTCTCCTCACCATCAAAACAGTTTAATGAAAACTTAAGTTGTGATTAAGAGTTACTCATCGACAGGGTATAACCAAGCATGTGCTATTTATGAATTATTCCACACAATATTTTTAAGCCTAACACACAGAATCCACATTCATAAAGATGTAAGCTAGAAAGCCAGTTAAATATTTTCATGATTTACAAGGTCTGTGCTATACTTGAAACCATATTCCTTTAATAGGTAAGCTGGCATTCTGCTGGATAATTCAATCTGCTTTAAATCTATTCTAAAGCTCTGGACAGCTTAAGGGACATTCTGAATATAAATTTAATTCATATCAGCATAAATGTGATAGGAAGACATGGCATAAACATACCTGCCAATTGTAGTGGTCAATTCATGTATTAAAGCCACTTAGAAAATGTTAAAAATCACCATAATTCCAAACACAGAAAATACTTTATAAGCTTGGTTAAAGATATAAATTAAAAGAACAACATAAACAACATAAACAATAAAATTACTGATTCCATATGTCTGGATCACCAACAATAATATAAATGGGCAAGAATAATTTGAAACTACCTTTGATGGTTATTAGAAAAGATAATTAAATCTCTCTATGTGTAGAAAAGCCCATGGGTTTATATTTTCATGTTCCCAAATCATTGAAACAAGAGGGACCAGTTTTACACCCTAAAAAGTCATACATAATAAATTCGCTTTCCATTCTTTCAGCATCTCAGTGTCTCAGAACAGGACTAAGACAGCATGCTTTTCGGGCATCCAGTGCTTTAAAGACATCTGAGACAAATGATCATTCAGCCTCCTGACAAGTTTTGAGTTTTTATTTAATCACTACAGATGACCATCCAAGCTACCCTTTGACATCTCTAATCTTGAGAATATTCTTAAAACAACCAAAACAAGCTTTCCTGTAATTCCTACACTGTTTGAAGCCAATCTGTTAGAAAATTTTAGGTTTACTTTGTCTTATTTATATTCACTCATCAAATACTTGAGGCTCAAGTCACAATGTATTTTTCTCTCCTGTGGAGTATCTTCTCCAGGTATTTCTGATGCCTAAGCTGTGCCCCACTACCTGGCTCTCACAATGTTTACCAGTCACTCTGCGAGCATGGCATTCAGAAGTAAATACCTCAGATAGAGTCTAATTAGTACAGGGCAGTGGGACTAGTACTTCTTATGAATTAAAAATTATTTATTAATGCAAACTAAATACATTCCTTGAGAATTAGGCTCTTAGCAAGATATGGAAATAATACAAAAGCCAAATTACCAGTAATTATAACCCCCCAGGAAACAACCATGGGAGAAACTTTGTTACCATGTACAGGATAAATACAAATCTCAATATAAACAGAAACTCCAAGCCTGAAATAACTTTACCACTGAACATCATATCCTTTAGCCCAAATTTCAGCAGAGCTGAATTTTTACTTTTATACTTACCATGTTGTATGTCTTTCATATCTAAGTGAAGACTGGACATTAATATTCCAACAGCTTGTGATCTTTTGTTGCTTAATAACTTGACAACCTGCTCAAGAAAGAAAGGAAAAGGGGAAATGTTAATTTGCACTCCAATGATATATTCAATATCATGTTCTTTTTAATCCTAAGTGAGGAAAAAAATAACTTGAAGTCATTATTTCAAGTACTCAAAAATGATCTGAATAGAGCTTTTGGGTGTCATATCAGACATCAAAAACCACACTTTCTGCAGCATCCCCCATCAGCCCCAATGCCTTGCTCTTTGCCAGTCTTTCAAGAGCCTGATGTTGATGTGCAAACAAGTAGAATTTCTAATAGCTTAGAAAATTCATCTAGTCTCTGTAAAATAACAATTACATATTTAATAATTTGCAGCCTGAGTTTAAAAAGGGTTCCTTTTTTTAATGCAGAGCCTTGAAACACTGGTCCAAAAGTGAAGGCAATGTGCAAACACAGAGAATCTTATAGATCAGATCGGTTTGACCACAAAGTAGAAAATGTGCTTTTATTCAGGTCTTTTAGAAAGCTATTTTCCTAGCAGTCCCTACCATTCTGCATTTAGCCTCCATTTATGGGGAAACTTTCCAACTGTTTGATAGTGGGATACAAGCATCTAGTCCAAAGGGCTTTGCTGGCTCAATCTTAAACCCAGCTTTTCAGAGTGTCCTGAAGAGTCAGTTAGTCCACACAGCCCATCAGGAGCTTCCTAAGGCAGACGTGGGCATGCTGCTATTGAACAGACATGTTTAAACTATGTTTTCCAGACACCAACACACCACTGATAAATCCTGCTGATGACACTATTATCCCATGTCCCAATTTTGTGAAGGATAGCAATGTCTATTTATTCTCAGGGTTTTGTTATAAATCTGCTTAGAAAAACACTGGAGGAAAAGGCAAAGAGGTTAGAGTCAAACTAGCAGAAGTGACGGCTGCCCTAACAGCTCTCACATTTGTTGACCTTGTCTTTCTTTTGGGTTTAAATTGGGTCAACCAGGAAACTAATAAAATAATTGTGGCCAGCTGTCACATTAAGTCCAATAGTAAGACAATATTCTTAATAGCAAAAATAGCATTCTTGGTTCCCAGCAGAGATGGGGTGGAGAATGCAACAAAATACTCTCAGAAGGACCAATCACAAAACCTCCAGTCGTTTCTGAGAGTATCCCAAGGAAGGGACAATACCCCTCAAGCAGTAGTGCTTCCTCCAAAGACAAAACAATATACACATTTTTATTTGTAATGTGTCCCTAAAACATTTTATTAGATTCTAGCTAAAAAATAGCTTAGAACTTGAATATGGATCCATTCATATGTCAAGTATTTCTATCAATAATGTTATCCTTCCTCCTCAGAGGTGAAAAGATAGTAGTGTCAGAAAAACAGAAGGCAGGTATTCTGTCTTACAAGACACTTTCTAACCTAAGATAAATGCAATGTGGACTATCTGACAAAACTATTTTACTAAGGTTTCCTATCTACTGGTTCCTAAATACAATGGGCACATCTGAATCCATGTGTCATCTGACTCTCTTGCAGTGTGACATGTCGATCACACCCTTAAAGGAGCTCTCCTGGGCTCCTGCCAGTCCTTCTCAGGCCTTTGTAAGGTGAATTATTCTGATTTCACCTTAAAATGACCATATTCCAGAGTTCTGTCCTCCAAGTTTTCTTCACCTTATGATCTAAATTTGCCTTCTGTAAACATACATGCCTACACTTATAACTGCATCCTTTCACCTACATCTTCAAATCCATAGTATTCCTCTTTCTGAACAAACATCTCCACTTAAATCACCCACATAAATCTCCACTTGACATGTCTAAAGCCAAACTTGTCATCAGTTCTGCCCCAAAACCTGTCCAGCTTGTCCTCTTGTACGATGTATGTTGAGACAATGGCACCTCTGTCTTCCATCCACCTACCAAAATAAGCAATCTCCATGCCAACTTCTCCTCTGCCCACATAACCCACTCTGGTAACAAGTCCTGTCAGTTGTGGTTCCTCCCTACCTTTGGATTCCACCTCCTCCTAAACTCTTTTGTCAGCGTTTACTTCTATATTATATATTTCACAGATTAGTGCAAAAGATTTCTAACTGGTCTGCCAAAATTGGGTCAACCAGGAAACTAATAAAATAATTGTGGCCAGCTGTCACATTAAGTCCAAGAGTAAGACAATATTCTTAATAGCAAAAATAGCATTCTTGGTTCCCAGCAGAGATGGGGTGGAGAATGCAACAAAATACTCTCAGAAGGACCAATCACAAAACCTCCAGTCGTTTCTGAGAGTATCCCAAGGAAGGGACAATACCCTTCATTTGACCAGTGGCTCTCAAAGAGCATTGCCTGGACCAGCATGTATCATCATCACCAGGGAACTTACAAATGAAACATTTTGGGCCCTGGAAACCTACTAAGCAGAAAATCAGGACAGAGAAAGCATCCATCTGCATTTTTAAAAGCCTTCCAAGTGATTACAGAATCATTGATGAGCCTCATCTCTTCCTGTCCATTCTCCAAAGTGACTTCCAACTAGCACGCTTAAAAGTGCCAACAGTTACATGTCACTCCCTTGTTTTGTAAACCTAAGTGGCTTGTGTTCCAGTATTAGTCTTTTAAAAGGTCACGGGGCTGCCTCACAGTTTATACCTGAAACTTGCTTTTCCTGTTATAATTCAAATGAACTTGATTACAAACTGTATTTTACATTTTAATGCCTAAGATCATAGGTAGGAATAATAATTATCTATCATATGCCAGAAGCCATATATACAGGAAAGGGCAGATGTCTAAAAGGATCCTCCACAGTTCCCTAGAGTGACTGAACATTTACGTTAGGAACCACGGTCATTGTTTATCCTTTTTTTAAGACACCCTGGATAACAAGAACCTGAAGCTATCAAACTAGAACATTCTTAGAATCCAGTAACCAGAGATACAATGGAAAGAGTTGACCCTTACAAGATAATCTCAAAACACTTAGCTGAAAAATGTAAAATGCAGAATTAACCAATATGAAATCTACAAAATTAGTACATATAATCAGAAAAGAGAATTATTTTGAATCTATCTAAATCGACATCAGATTCAACCAATACTTTTAAAAAAGTTTTTATATTAGACTCCCCTGAGAGGAGGGACTGCGTAGGGATTATGAACATGGACTGTGTAAAATAAAGCAGTAATTCTCAAACATTAATATGTACATTAATCATCCCGGATCTTTATAAATGCAAATTCTGATTCCTAGGTCTGGTGGGACTTTCTGGAAAAATGACTCCATTCTAAAGCTTCAGTTTCCTCATCTAAAAAAAAATAGCAGCATCAATTTCAAAAAGCCATAGTGGATATTCAGCATGACAATGCACTTGACACTCATAGAAATATACCTAGCAGTATATTCGCTGCAATAACAATAGCTGTAAGAAGGTAAATACTGAGCAAAGCATTTTAAATATTTTCTCAAAAACAAAATAAGTCAACTTTTCATTATCAAGTTTACTTCTACAAAAGAATTAATAATCTTTCCTTACTGCCATGTAATTTCCTAAGAAATCTAAACCCCTATTAGTTCAGAGTAGTTTTTCAGTCGTTGCAAATGATTTCTACCTTTAAATTCTGCTCCCGGGCACTCTACATGACCAATGACACATTTATTTTGACCAGGTGCAACAGAAGGCCATGCGAGAGAATTAAACCACACATATGGCCCCAGTTCAAACTTTCAGGACCCTAATATAATTAAAATAATTGGGCTGTATAACTGGACATGTGTTTAAAATTAACATTAATTATTGATCTGAACAACTACTGCATCAAGGAAATATCCTTGGTCTTCTTCCACTGGCCCTATTTTTTTTTTATTTCTTCACTTTATTTATAAACTAAGCCAGTACTGAGAACCCACAGAAGTGTGATGATAGAGACAATAAAAATAATGGTCATGTATGCACATGTTTTTTATTTTTTAACACAGATAATTAATTTTTCTGTGTTATCCTGAACTCCCATCACCTGGATATCCAATACCATATGTGGATATTTCTAATGGGAGTCCCAGAACATGATATGGTAATTAAAGTAATAGGTACTTCAAAAGCTTGAGTACAGCTTACACTAGAAATACTGAAAACTAGCAATTTTCGGTAATTTGAGTTACCGAATACCAGTCTGTGAAAATGCACAATCTCAATCTCCACTCCCTTTTTCCTTCCACTGCCCACTCCCTACATGCAAAAGGATCACATTGTACAACAGCTCAGCTTGGGGTCTCCACAAGCATATAGAGTGGAAGGGGGAAGCCAGCCAGCTCAGAGAAGGGACACCTTTCCCAAAATCACAGAGATCCCCGTGGGTGAGCTGCAACTCTAGGCCAGAATTCCAGCTCCAGGCATATCCTTGGGTCCTGGTCTGTAAAATGCAGGACACACTTCACAGAGTGGTGCTATGAAGGTTACTGCAGATGTGAAACAGTGCTGCCTGCCCAAAATGTGGATGGACCAGAGGCTGCTGCCAAGCGAGAGTGCTACCTGTCCACTGAGAGATTAATATGAAGAGAAACTGAGAGCAAATGTTACAGCACTGTGATGGGGTAATGTTTCATCTTGTTGAATCTAGATCTGTATGTTTTTTGGGTGGCAGAGCAGAGGATAGGGTGGGTTCTAGTTTCCCTTTTCTAGTAATTCACATGTTATACTTTCACAAAAGTATCAGAAGATAATGGATTAGGGGTTTAAAAAGTGGTCCTTCACCAGGACGATTTAAAAGCACTTGTGCAAAGCACTTCCCAGGACAAAGGTCAGCGCTCAGGTGCTAGATACTGAAAGTCTGCACGCTCCAAAATTCGTATGTTGAAACCTCATGCCCACCGTGATGGTATTAGGAGGTGGGACCTTCGGGAGGTGATTAGGTCCAGGGGTGGAACCTTCATGAATGGAATTAGTGCCCTTACAAAAAAGACCCCAGAGAGACCCCTCATCCCTTCGGCCATGGCGGGCGCAGCAAAATGATAGCCACCAGTGGACCGGGAAGCAGCCCTCAGGA